ATTGTGATGAAGAAATGTTTAATTATCTCATAATTGTTCAGTTTCCATCCATTTATACCAAAAAATTGTCACCCTGCATGATATTGTATGTAATTGTTATGATATTGGCAAGTATCAAGTTAAAATCTGTATAATGAAATTTCGTGAACTCGACGTAAAAGCCACCATCGAAATATGTTTCGTGTTCGAAGAAAGGGGCGTGGGGGAGGGGGGGCACGGGTGGCCCAGTCGTCTAAGGCGCCGCGATTCGCTTTGCAGAGTTGCGTCCCTTGGGCACGCCAGAAACCTATGATTGTGGGTTCGAATCTCGGTTCGCCCCGATTATGTTTCTAGGTTTGTCAACACCATACCTGTGCTCGTGGGTTTCACTTATAGTGCAGATAAGTTACATTGATCAAATCTTATCCCGAGTTGACGACGATCGATCACAACAGGTAAATGTACGGTTAAATGTATCAAAGGGACTGAGTGTTCGCGAACACCTGGTGTCATCACTATTTGATAGTGATTCACAAACACATGCTCATGATACAGTCGGAATCGTACAATGGCCTCTGCTTTTTAGGGGAGATTTCTTGGCTTTCTTGGTTCACGATATGTTACATACTTTGCAACCACACACCTTCTGTTAATGTTTAACCTGACGTCAGCATACTAATTATTAACCTCATTAAGGCTGACAGTGTTTAGTTTCTGTCAATCTTTCCGATGAATGGTCTTCCGGACTGAGATGTGGTTAAGTTCTGGAATATGTTAAACAGTTTATTCCCGAATGGTCAGCCAGTCGGGATGAGGTATCAGGAGTAATTACCAGTAAGTAAAACATTGCCGGGCAAAAGAAAGTATACACCCATGGTTGATAGTGGCTAAACATGAGTGAGTGAGTGAGTGAGTGAGTTGCGTTTTACGCCGCTTTTAACAGTATTCCAGTTATATCGCGGCGTGTCAGCTTAATGTGGGAGGAACGCCCGAAGTGATGCAGGTCTCAGACGTTTACCACTTCGGTAAAACCCACGAGCACGGGTATGGTGCTGACAAACCTAGAAACATAATCGGGTCGAACTGGGATTCGAACCCACAATCATAGGTTTCTGGCGTGCCCAAGGGACGCAACTCTGCACAGCGAATCGCGGCGCCATAGACGACTGGGCCACCCGTGCCCCCGGCTAAACATGAAACATAGAAGAAATGAATACCAGTGTTCGTTGATGATGTATTTGAAATGAGTATCAAAGTTGTGTTTTGTACCTAAATTTGCAGTATTTGACGACTGTTTTCAGCTACTTTTTTAAAACGTTTTTTTCTTTGGCAAAATTCCATTTTCAAGTGAATGCTTTCTTTTGCGCAGCAGTTAACGATTAAATGCCAGGAGAAGAATAGGAAACGAATTCCATGGACCTTATGGTATATTGACCTGGTTATTTGTAGAATTTGGCCCGTCCTTTCCGACTGCATACGAGCCGGGAGGTAAAATGGGCTTTAATGTCGAGTTCAAGATTAATGCACTTACACAGCGACGTATGCCGGGTTAGTTGTACGAGCTCGTTGAGGTACAAGCATACCGCAGTTTAACATGGATACCTCACTCAGACACATTACACTGATTCGTAGACGGACAGTCTTCGTTTTAATGTCCAGCATCAGATTGGATAACAGCAAGTGCCGCCTTTTAACGTCTCCGTGAGACACTTCATGTTTGCGAGTTGGATTTTACGCCACTTTTTTCAATATTCCGGCAGTCATACTGCGGGGGACACAGAAATGGTCTTCACACATTGTACCCATGCCTTTGGTGTGAACTACATATGTACTGTAAATATGTATTGGATAAATTGTAAGTAATGTGTTGATAGATTGTAGCGAACACCTGGTACCATCGCAATCTCAGTGATCCTTTCATATAAGTTTCACCGCTATTTTGACTGTTACGCCTGTTCGGTGGATAATTGAGACTGGTTATTCTCTGGCGTTGACGTTTTATATTTACATTATGTAATATAAAAATCCTTTCTCTATCAATCCCCTTCTAAACACAAAGTTCCTTGTCACGAACGGTATGTACAATGCAACTACATCATTGAAGGTTTAATTTGTTACGATTTTCTGATGTTGTTTACATGCATTTTAACCTTATGATAATACAGTAAACTACGGTTATAACGAACTCAAAGGGACCACTAATTTTAATTCGTTATATCCGTAGTTCGTTATAAGCAAATGTACGTAATATATATAGCAAATGGATAGGACAAAAAAATAGTTCGTTATATCCGTCAGTTCGTTATAAGCATGTTCGTTATAAACGTAGTTTACTGTTCTAATCTTGTTAAGCGGGTTACGTGTATGCACTGTGTAATCCATATAGTTGTGATTCTAAACAAGGTAAGTTTCTATTTCCTTCAAATTTCAAAATTTACATTTATACTGCGCTTTTAAAGCCATCCATTACTGTTCAAACGCGTTTGGGCATGAGTCACTGTTGAGAACTTAACCTAAAGAGAAATCAATTCCTTGATGTCTGATACAATTCTTTGTTTTGACTTGTACCATATGTTCCCGTGTTTGTTCAGGTGAAGAATTGACTCGCCTTTACATGTATTTGTTATGGGTGCCACCAGTTGGACAGGATACGCTCACCTTCTTCGCAAACACCTGGTATCATCACTATTTGATTGCGATTCAGCCGTACCATTGTACAATCGACTCTGCCTTCAGCAGAGATTTCTTATCTATTATTCACTTTACGACAAAGGTTAACAGGCATTAATGGACATGAATTTATTGAACGTCTCTGTGTGTGTGTGTGTGTGTGTGTGTGTGTGTGTGTGTGTGTGTGTGTGTGTGTGTGTGTGTGTGTGTGTGTGTGTGTGTGTGTGTGTGTGTGTGTGTGTGTGTGTGTGTGTGTGTGTGTGTGTGTGAGTGTGTGTGTGTGTGTGAGGGGATGGGGGTTGGGGTTGGGGTGGGAGTGTAACACCCCATCCGCGCTCGGCATTGAGGGGATATGGACTGATCGGCTTGCATTCAGCTTAGTGTCTGGATGGGGTATCCATGTTAAACTGCAGCATGGTATCTCAGTGCTCAAGCATTATAAAACCAGGATAAATCCGAACTAGTACAAGCAGCCACACACATACACGTCGATATATAAGGGATCCCCATTTCACTTGACCTCACCTCTTCCCTGCGATCGACACTGTGACTGAAATACAGTGTGACGTAAAGTTTGAATTTCTTCACTCTTCACAAGAAGCAAAATTTGCTCACTTCACCTGAGGGGTCTGCTTGGTCTGTTTAATGAGATCAACAAGGCATGCAGACGCCATTCACCACATAGCCACAAACACAAGGACAAATTCACTTCAAAGTCAGAGTAAACCTGTACTCCTAGGGGATGATGTGTTTGTACTGGGACCGTGGAGGGCGTGTCGTAATATTCGTATGGCCTACACATGCGTTATTGTGACAAATTATCTTCTTTGTTGTATCTTTCTTATGGTACAAAGAGAGGGGATTTAATGTTCAAATGATAAGGTGTTATGGTAGGAGTACGACATTATGAAGGGCAAATCATGATGTAATGTATAAACTCAGGTCTTTCAGAGTGCAAACGATAATGTTCACTTGTTCGGACAGGGTAAGTGCAAGTGACAATATATCATGATATAACTGTAGACGTGTTTGGTGGGGCGGTCGGGTAGCCCAGTGGTTAAAGCGTTCGCTCGTCAAGCCGAAGACCCGGGTTCGATTCCGGACATGGGTACAATGTGTGAAGCCCATTTCTGGTGTCCCCCGCCGTGATGTTGCTGGAATATTGCTCAAAGCGGCGTAAAACCATACTCACTCACTCACTGAGTTACAACCTCTTTCATCATTCATGTTCGTTAACTATAAGGGAGACAACTCTCCCAGACTCCCAGACTTGTCAGTGCTCCGTTGTTGAAGGGCTTTGCCAATATTTTTATTTAATCTGTCTGCAGTTGAAAAAGGGCGTGAGTATGGCCAACCGAGAGGGGGTGATAATAAAATGAGCTGCATGTTATATTAAATATAGACACTGCGGTCTGTGAGAGTGTCCCCTCCCAAGTGAACTTGTGCTATTAAATCCATAGATAATTTCCAATACTGGCAGATGAAGTTTAAACTGTTGTTTATGTTGTTATCCCTACGCTTGCAATCATCACTATTCTCCTTAAACAACAAATAAAAATTCAAAATATCAGAGCGCAAAATGCCATGAGCTTTTCACAACTTCTTTTCTATCAATATATCTTCTAAACATTAATAGATATTTATGATTCATGAAAAATGAGGAAACTTTCCCTAACTACACCCTATACACACCCTATTCTGCCCTCACTCTACCCGATCTTCCCAAGGCAAGGGAGTAAACTGACTGTGAAAGCCCAGTTTCCACCCTTGCCGAGCTAGGCTTGAATTTCGTGGCTCGATGGCCCGACTTACGTCCCTTCTATGTCCCGCCTATGGTCCAATCAGATTCCACCTCTCATATCACTTGCATTTGCTTCAAACAAAATGCCGGCTCCTGGTCCAGACGGTTTAATCGATAATCCCGATTTTAATCATGATAAAACGGGTCCTGTCTCGCGAAGTGCATCAAATCACTTGCGCACCTTGATGAAAACCATGAAAATACTTTGCAAATATCTGTCGACGCCCATTTGACGGCACACATGCTCTACAAATTCTGCAGTCGGTCGAAATCTGACCGGCAGTTGCTATGTTTATGAACCGCATGTCGATTTCGTTACGCGATTTTGATTGGATTGTGCATAGACTCGTTAGTACATAACTCCATAGGTGGACTTTACTAGTCAGGTAACTCCCTTGCCTCGGGACGATGACTCCACCCCATCCCAACACATCGTTAAAATCTTACTGTTTTGTCTTCAAGAAGCTTTAAGCGATTGCCATAAATGTCGTTATTGGTAATTTCAATTGCCCCAATATTTTTGCTATATCCTTATTTGTTTATATTTCAGGTTATTCGGTTTGTATACAGGAAGTTTCGAAAGTATCACGTGTACGTGACTACGCTGTTCGCAGTGGCAACTTTCGTCCTCAGCTTCCGCGAAATATCCAGACTTGAACAAATCGAAAGTAAAGGTTCAGCTAACCAAATTGCTCCTAATGAGGGCGAGTTTACAGAAAAAGTTCAACAAAATTCGCTTAAAGAAAGTCCATTACTTCGGAACCAGTGGATCGAGCGAAAATTGAACGAAAAGTCTGAAGACGTCATCACTCACGCAAAGAATGTCAGCACATCTGATTACAAGAAGACCTCTTTGAACGTAAAGATCACAGAAGTAACGACACTGACACACACAACACGCAGACCAAAGAAGTTTAAAGACGTTGTTTGGTTCAATGCACCAGCGTGGATTCCAAGACAAAAAGGTTCAGAACTGTTCGGGGGTTGTAAATACAAAATGTGTACTTTATCATACGACCGTCGAGATCTCGCTAAAGCAGATGTGGTGCTTGTTGATGGATTTAATCTACACCAGGGTGCGCCACCACCTAGATCAGCCAATCAGATGTTTGCCCTCTTTTCCTTTGAACCACCGACATATTTAACCATACCTTCCGAATGGAAAGACGCTTTTAACTGGACAATAAGCTATCGTCCAGATTCGGATATATGGAGGCCTTATGGAATGGTACGAAAACGGCGATCCGGTTTGAAAGGGAAAAATTATGAAAAGTTGGTGAAAGAAAAAACGAACAGTGTCGCTTGGTTCGTAAGTCGTTGCGTTTCACATAGCCAAAGAGAGAAATACGTCAACGAATTACAGAAGTATGTAGATATAGATGTGTTCGGGAGGTGTGGTGATGGCAAATGCGGCAGAGATTGCTATGAAAAGTTGAAATCCTATAAATTCTTTCTTGCTTTTGAAAATTCCTTTTGTGAGAATTATGTTACCGAGAAATTCTTCAAAACATTTCTGCATGATGTGATTCCAGTGGTACGTGGTGACCCAAATTACAAGAGCCTTTATGGAAGTGGTTACATCATAGACACAAAAGACTTTGCAACCATAAGAGAGCTAGGTTATTATTTGAACTTTCTTTTAAACAATGATAAAGCCTACATAGAACTATTGAGAGAAAAGGATAAGCTAAAGGCTTATTTTCCATTACCATGGTGTGGTCTGTGTGAAAAGATACACAAACCTTTAGTTAAGCAAAACTATGCTGATATCAACCACTGGTTGTCCAGAGAAAAATGTCATTTACCAAATGATTTAATAAAAAGATAACCCTTAACAAAACATTCTATACAGAAATCTCGGAATGAGTTTGGTTTTACGCCACTTTGAACAGTATTTCAATTAAATCAGCTTGGCGTGGGAAGAAAACCCGAACTGATGCAGACTCTAGGGTCCTGGCACGCCTAAGGGAGGCAACTCTGCACAGCGAATGACCAACGTAATAAGTATCGAGTGAGACCGGGGTTTACTCGTTTGAAAAGTATTTTGTCTTAACACTGCTTATCTACTAGAAGGTCATCGTGCTCTTATTTTACGTATGACGTTTGTGTAAGAAAGACACAGGGTGTAACTCGAATGAATTGTTAAGAGAGACACTTAAAGCAACACGATGTACTTGGGACGTGTGGAGAAACGGAATCCCATATTGACGTGTTTTCTTAAGCTTTCTTAAAACGCTGGCTTTTCTGCTGTTGATAACGCAATTTATGACGCTGTTATGTACAATAAAATGAGTTTTTTTGAATGGGTACAATGTGAGACAGACAACATAATATTCATTCTCCCTTTTATCGAGATGACATTAATTGAATTTCCTTTCTGTTTGTTGGGTACAGTCCCAGCGTCTAACCCCAATAGGGGGCGATGATTGAACGTTCTAAAAAGTAATAAATTTATCCATCTATTTCTCGGTAAAATGTGAAAGTATGGTTCCAGTTTCAACTCCGTTGTAAATTCCTTATACATGGCACCATTTGAAGATGCATTAATGTCAGACATCCATGACTGAAAAACTTGATCATCTATGCTTTGCTTTACGATTGATTTGACCAAATATACCGAAGGACAGAACTCATTCAGCAAACAATAATTGTAGCCATGGAACTAATCATAGACTCTTCACATGATATACCCATTAATGTATATTTACATGGTCGTGGTATAATAGACTGAACATGATACAAGAGAATTTCAACGAGTGGAACGCCTAAAACGGCGGATGTCGGAGACGTTATCAATGTGTGGAAACCAAATATTATTGGCAGGGTGTTTATATAACACTGATGATAAACCTTTATAGTTTTATAATTATACTTTAATAAATATTTTAGTACCACGCTGCTCCTCGCATCGCACACAGCACTTAAGCATGTACCCGTCCGTTTTCTGTCTTGCTAGATTTAAAAGGTACCATGGCTTTGCAAAATAATATATTTCGTGGCAGGTATGCTCTGTATATGTTTTTTTAATTAATTCTCTTTCATTTTTACGTTCTATAAGTTCATCCGGTTTCCTATGCGCTTGGGCTAGGGTTAGGGTTAGGAGGAACCCGGATGGTATTGTCCTTATAGTTTATATTGTGTATTGTCTGTTTTTGACATGACATTGGTGAAACACATGAGCTAACATAGCATAAAAAGGAAAATTTTGGATTGGAGATAAAGAATTGTTTGTGCCCCAGAAATCTAAGTCCATGTCTTTTTCAATTCATGCAAAGATACTTAAAAATAAATCAACCATTTAGGATGCTGCTACTATGATGTCGATAAGCTTTTCATAAAATATGTTCTGAATGCAGTTGTATTGTTTGTGTTGTCATTTCTAATTATTCCCTTTACTCACACGAATTTCATAAAGAGTCGAACTTTGTATTTGACATATACAACGCATACATATATCGGTTCATTAGAAGCCTGGCATACCAACCACCACATCTACCATACCCACCACACACACCACACATGCAACACCCGCAACAATCCACAACCACTACACACAACTTACAACCACTACACACAACATAACCTACACACCAACAACACACAACACAACAACACTAACCAAACACCACTCAGCACTCGCCATAACCCAAGACCCACAACCATAACGCTCCACGCCGACCACATCAAACACCTTACACCCACCACAACACACATCCCTTACGCCTCATGCCCACCATAACCCACACACACTACAAACACAACATACTACACGCTGCACTCACACTCCCAGCACACACCCCACCAACAAGACACAACCCGCATCCACAACAATGCACTGCGCACAACACACAAAGCACACTCTGCACCTCCCCCCACCCCAAACACAACACAACACAACCCCACTACACTCCACATCCTCCACAACCCACACACACTTTACACCCCACATTACTTTAGGCCACATCCACCACAGCGAACAACCACTACGCTCCACACCGCCACCAATCCTCACAACCAACACCAACGTCACTCCACATCCTCCAAAACCAACACCCACCATAACCCACCACAACCCACACGCACTACAACACACATCCCACACGCCACACGCCACACGCCACACGTCACACCCACCAATACTAACAATCATAACGCAACTGCCCAACCCCACAACGAACAGCTTCTATGCATCTCTCACACCAAAACGAACAACCACAACGCAACTCATTCAACACAACGAACAGCCTCTACGCAACTCTTACACCACAACGAACAACCACTATGCTACACTTTCACCAAAACGAACATCCACAACGCAACTCATCCAACAAAGCGAAAAGCCTCTACGCAACTCTCACACCACTATGGAAAATCCCCGCACTCAACACCCAACATAACCCACACCTACCACAACGCAGAACCACTACTCTCCACACCACACCACACCACACCACACTACACCACACCACACCACACCACACCACATCACACCACACCACACCACACCACACCACACCACACCACACCACACCACACCACACCACACCACACACACCAACCCACCGTACTCTCATCACAACATTACACATACACCACAACACACAACCAATATACTCTACTCCCTTCGCAACTCACAACCAACAGTGATTCACAACCACTACTCACCAGACCTACCACATCCGACAACACAACCACCACATCACTCCCACTACCCAAACCCTATCATAAGCCACACCCACCACATTCCACATCCACCACAACCCTCACCCACTACACCACATCCACCATAACCCACACCCATCACAACCCACAACCCACAACCCACAACCCACACCCCACCACACACCCTCTACACTCCAAACCCATCATGAACACCACACCCACCACACCTATACCATACACAACACAACCAAACACATGACAATCACACCCACCAAACCCCACACCTACCACAACCATACCTACTTCAACACAACACAACCACACTCATGACAATCACACCAACAACCCCCCACACCTCCCACAAGCATACCTACTTCAACCATACCTACTTCAACACAACACAATATATCCACACACATGACAATCACACCCACCAAACCCCACACCTACCACAACCATACCTACTTCAACACAACACAACCGTACTCATGACAATCACACCAACAACCCCCAACACCTCCCACAAGCATACCTACTTCAACCATACCTACTTCAACACAATATATCCACACACATGACAATCACACCCACCACACCCCACAGCTACCACAACCATACCCCACTTCAACACAACACGACCACACACGTGACAATCACACCCACCTCACCCCACACCTACCACAACCATACCTACTCCAACACAACACGACCACAAACATGACAATCACACACACCCCACCCCACGCACACCACAACCATACCTACTTCAACACAACACAATATATCCACACACATGACAAACACAACCACCACACCCCACACCCCACACCCCACACCTACCACACCGATACCTACTTCAACACAACACAACCACACACATGACACTCACACCAACAACCCACACCTACCACAATCATACCTACTTCAACACAACACGACCACACACATGACAAGCACACACACCCCACCCCACACACATCACAACCATACCTACTTCAACACAACACAATATATCCACACACATGACAATCACACCAACAACACCCCACACCTACCACGACCATACCTACTTCAACACAACACAACCACACACAGAGTTACGCAGTGTCATAAAATATATGACTCTAGATAAAGCAAGTATTTTTCAATGTTTTCAAGTTTCTTTTGTAACAGTTGAATAGCTCTAAAAAGAGCCGTTGACTGGTTCTGTGGGGTGTAATAAATGAATATAATAAAGTGGGAAAAAAGTGGGCTTGGGTTGGTTGGGGTGGGGTCAAGCGGTTGAAGGCAAGGCGTCAGCTGGTGTGCGTGTGTTGGACAAGAGCCCTGTGAGTGACTAGTAGAGTAGGCCGGCCAGGAGCTTCCTGGTTGTCGCTGATGGGCTGGTACAGTCTGCTAGTCAGCTGGGCGGCTGTGTTGGAGATGTACGCAGGGCTTGTCTTGATATCACAGTCAACCAGGACACAAAGAGGTCCTGGTAGCTGTGAATATCGTGTTCACACCTCTCCGCCTCCATGTATTGGACCATGACCAGCGGTGGGCGTGGGCGTGCCCTGGTGTACAGTTTCCCAAGGCTGTTGTCAATGGGGCGGGATGGTCTTTGTGCTGGTCACAGGATCTGGGCCCACTTGCAATAATAATTTGTAAACGAATGATATCTTTCTGGCACAAATTAACATATCAAACTGGCGTGTATAAACTTTCACAGCTGTTATATCAATATCTGTCAATTAATGGGAACAAGACTATTGCATCAACAAATCCCTGGGTTAGATGTGTTATGGATATATTAGACAGTATTGGATTATCTTATGTATTTAACAATCCGTCAATTTGCACAACAAAGTGGCTAGTGTCAGAAGTAGAGCAAATACTTAAAGATCACTTTCTCCAGAAATGGAGAAGTGACGTTAATTCTAGTTCTAAAGGCTTATACTATAAACATTTAAAGGACACTCCGGTTCTCGATAAATATCTTCTATTGCCAAAACGAATAGCAATTCCAATACTACGATTTCGAACCTGTAATCATAATTTACCTAATGAGACTGGCCAATGGAAAAATATTCCAAAGGAAAATAGAACTTGTAAATTATGTAATTCCCCATCTATTGCTGATGAATTTCACTACTTATTCAGATGTATTTATTTTAAAAGAGAGAGGCGAACATTTCTCTCATCATATTATACTGAATGGCCAAATATTATAAAATTTGTAAAACTCTTATCAACAACAAACACACAGGATCTTAAATTTTTATCGAGATTTATTGTAAAAATGTCCATTAGTATTAAACATGCTAGGTAACCACATGTTGTTATTAATTGCCATCTTGTCTGCTTTTTGTACATATGCATAATTATATATTTTAATATGCTCTTGTACCACCTTTTGTGGTTTCTGAGAATAACTGATTGATTGATTGATTGGTTGCACAAAGCGATCTAAGCGCTGAGATGATCGTAACCCCCATAAGATCGCCTTGTGGAAGTGTGCCCTGGTCAGCAATCCGGGAAAAGTCGACACGGGGATGTTCCTTCTCAGTTGGTACCTCGAAGGGCGCGGTCTGGCCGGGTGGTACTGACGTTGAGAAGGGGGCCTGTTAGTGTGGCGGTCTGTGATTCCGTGGACTTGGTCGAGGTAGGGGTCGGGAGATAGCTTCGGGAGAGGAGATATCTCTCCTCTTCCTCTTCTTTCTCCCGCGGCCGGTGCCCTCAGGTGAGCGGAAGGGCTCCTCCCCTCTGGATTCGAGGGGAGCGAGATCCTTCGCTGCGGCTGGGGGCTGGGGGGTCGGAGGAAGGGTTACCTCAATATCCATGCTGGAGGCTGAAGTGGTCTTCTTCTTCTCAGGACTGGCTTTCTGCGCCGGGCGTGGAGCAGAGGGAGTCAGTTCCTCCTTAGGCTTGGATTTAGCCGGAGCCTTGTCCAGAGGCCTCTTTCATTGATTGAGATTACAGACGATGGAGAGGGTTGAGGTATTTGTACTGTGGGACATCTGGAGGGAGAAGTCCCCAAACCGGTACGCCAGAAGCGGTTCCAGGATGGAGACTAACTCCCTCGGTAGAGCCTGGCTGAAGTCCCCCATCATGCGCGCTTGGAAGGATACGTCAGTGTTGAGTGTCAAAGCCAAGTGAAAAGAAATTACCTTCTTCTTCTCCTAATTGGAGACTTAAGAGCTTTCCGCATGTCGCGTATTTCGCACAAGGGGTTGTACTATAGTACTTTCTTGAAAAAAAGTTGTAAAAATAAAAAAAGTGTAATCTCATAAACAGGGACGTTGTAATGTCCCTGGGATTTTATATAATGTCCTGGGTATTTCATTAATATAACTTCCGTTCAGCTTGTAACATGTAATGAAATGTAAAATCAAATGTCAAATGTTTTCTTTATATTCCCGAGGATCGTACTCGCAACCTTCATATCTGTAGCCCAGTGAGTGTACCACGGGGCTACAGAGGTGTTGATAAGCCTCACTGGTTTTTAGAATGTCCTTTTCAAGATCCGTACGCCAGCAACAGATATTTTACGCGCGTTTCCTAAGGTTCGTGGAAAGTATGTTCGAAACATAAAAATGTTGATAAATGTTGTTTTAAGTTTCTTTTTTCGGTTAATAAGCATCGCCCCCTTGGTTTTTCCCTCTCCCCAGGGCATGCTCTGTCTACCAAAACCTCGTGAGCGTGTTTTCTCCAATACTTAAACATGGGGCGCTCGTGGGAGCTTTTGTAGATTTTAATACCAGGAGCTTGGAGGACAAGTGGGGTAGGAAGAAGATAGTTGTTGGACAGTACTTGGTCTGCTGAGTCTATAAGTCTCTTGGCGAGTCTCAGGGATTGGGTCCTCTTTTTCCATGGGGTGGATCTGTTTGGGGTAGAGTACTAGATAGATTAGGTTGCTTTCCGGATGAGGTCTGGGTGTTTTTAACAGTCAGTTAAGGAGGAGAGGGGAGAGGGGGGAGGGGGTGTGTGGATGGGTTGGGGGAACTTCATAGGGCTGGTGGAATCGTCTATTAGGGTGGAATGGGTGGGCGTACTCGCTCTTTTTCCTTTTTTTATCTTGGCCATGAGCAGTAAATGGGAAGGGGGCACGGGTGGCCCAGTCGTCTAAGGCGCCGCGATTCGCTTTGCAGAGTTGCGTCCCTTGGGCACGCCAGAAACCTATGATTGTGGGTTCGAATCACGGTTCGCCCCGATTATGTTTCTAGGTTTGTCAGCACCATACCCGTGCTCGTGGGTTTCACCGAAGTGGTAAACGTCTGAGACCTGCATCACTTCGGGCTTTCCTCCCACATTAAGCTGCCACGCCGCGATATAACTGGAATAGTGTTAAAAGCGGCGTTAAACCCAACTCACTCACTCAATAAATGGGATGGGTTGGTGTGGAGGCTGGACTTCTATTCGAGAGTTAGTCAGGCGAGGGCTTGTTAATATTTTCCAGGTTCTATGTCCACAGTAGTAGGTACTTGGTTGAAGATCTGGTTGGTCCCCTGGGCTACCTTTGGGTCGGTTGAGGCCCTGTCCCTGGCGTTCCCGGGCTTTTTAGGCTGTAGGGTGTAGAAAGTGATCAACTAGGAAACTTTGGTGCCACAGGTAAAGTCCGTATTTAGGGCGTAGGTGGCGACTCTGTAATCAAGGAGTGGTTGGATAACTCCAACAAGTTCGCTTGGTAGGGATTTGTTGATGTTCCGTGTCATAATGGGATTGAGAGCCAGGCTATAATCCGCTGAAAAACGAGAGAGGAACCAACGAGGAACGGACGGCAGAACGTGCAAACAGGCGATTTTATCCGCCCAATAAAAAGCAACCGGCCACGGATACGGGGACAAATTACCTGTTCATAAGCGCTATCTATAAATCCCCACGAATCAATATTCGGATCGGGATTGAACTTTCAAGCGCGGACTGTCTTCTACGACGTCCGCGCCCAAAAGTGCGCTTTAACCAGCCACGCTAATTCATAGAACTCTTTTAACCAGCCCCTACGTCAAGGCCAAAGCCACTGCACCCCACCCCATCGACAAACCAACGACGCCACACACCACCCTGAACTTAAACCCGGCTGGCCCCGACTGCGACATATCCAAAGGCTGAAGCAGTCGTAAAATCCTTAAACTGTCTGTCTGCTTGGGTCATGAGGCACACAGCATGTTCCTTTTGAAGGTTACTTGTACAACAAGAGCACAACTCGACAGACTTGTCAACACTGGAGATGCAACCACAAAGCCTATCAAGGTTGGTTGGTTGGTTTGATGTTTAACGCCGCACTCAGCAGTATTCCAGCTATATGACGGCGATCTATAAATAATCGAGTCTGGACCAGACAATCCAGTGATTGACATCATGAGCATCGATCCACGCAATTGGGATCGATGACATGCATCAACCAAGTCAGCGAGCCTGACCACCCGATCCCATTAGTCGCCTTTTACGACAAGCATAGTCACCTTTTACCGCAAGCATGGGTTGCTGAAGACATATTCCACCCCGGAATCTTCACGGGTCGCCTATTGAGGTAAATGTCGGAGACTTTGTACGGAATATCAGACCACACCCTGGATGATGCAGGCTTCTATGCAGGGTTGGAGTAAACAAAGACTATTCAGAGACATTCAATTCAATAAAATAATAAGTGCTACTATCAGTGCTACTCGTATCATGCTACCAGTGCTAATAGACAGACAGTTCAACGCCGTTTGCGACGTTGTGGCATCGTCGCCGAGAGACCAGCACGTTTGACTTATAATCATTGTCGAATGCGTTTACAGTGGCGCATACAACGCTTAGGCTGGGTTACAAATAAGTGAAAATTAGTAATGACACCATGTGTTCGAGAACAAGGTAAGAATGTCCTGCATCCGCTAGTCACACGAAATGCATAGAAAAGTGTGTTTAATTTGTTGACTGATACCGCCCAGCAGTACGCCTGCCACACAACGGTGGTCCAGACTCGATTATTTACAGACCTCCGTCCTAAAGCTGGAATATTGCTGAGTGTGACGTTAAACAACAAACAAACAAACAACGACTGCCTGTAAAGAACCGACTCTTTCTCTGTCTGCAACATATGTTTCGCATGTGATACGCCTCACATTTCTTACCGTTTTTGAGATGTTCAGTATGTACCATCCATGTGTACGCGCAAACTACTTGGGAGTTATATAGAAGTAACATAAGGAAACCCATCCTTTGCAGGTGACTGTAATCGCTCCTGAGTATATGATATTTGTAATAAATTTTAACGCATTTAATCTTATGTGCACTGGAAGAAAGCCACCGTGCATTACAACAATCATTCTTCAGAGCTATATGTATGTATGTATGTATGTATGTATGTGTGTGTGTGTGTGTGTGTGTGTGTGTGTGTGTGTGTGTGTGTGTGTGTGTGTGTGTGTGTGTGTGTATGTGGGTGCGTGCGTGCGTGGGTGCGTGCGTGCGTGTGTGTGTGTGTGCATGCGTGCGTGCGTGTTTGTGTGTGACATATGAGAAAGATCCTTCATATCCATGAAATGGTGTGTGCCTTTCAAGCAACAGGTTGAGATGTTATCAAACACCTTTATTGGTCACCTCGCACGATTCGATTCTGACGATAGTTCCAGTAGGTCATATATTTCATTTTACAACAGTATTAATGGTGATGTTGGGTGATCAGCGTGTATTTTATCTTCCTATCTGCATACTTGACGTGTATATTTATGAGCACGTAGACTTCCATGCATATATACCTGCCAATAGAAATCGCCCAACACTGCCACAGACTGACAAGGTAATTTACATTGCTATTTATCTATCAACTATTTCTTTTTTTTCGGTGTATTGAGGCAATAAGCCATCTTTACATGAATAGAGATCGTATATAGAGCGTGAGCGCTCGAGTGTCTGGCGAAATCTGCATGGCTCAAAAGCGAGATTCTGGTTTGTTGTTATCAGTTAATCTTGTCCTGTCCACTGGTGTTTACATGTGATGAGGGTGAACCCCACTGACACCCCTGGAACTTTCTGTCTCTTGTCTAAATGAATGCCAGCTGTGATCCAAGTTACACAGTATACTAGGATTAGGCTTTAGGAAGTGTCCCTGATTGTGAACATGCTGACTGCAGTTTTAAAGTTTAATATAAGCATATCCGTCTCAATCAGAAAAGAGTTATAGCGTTAGATGAGGTTTGTTACTTTGTTCGATAAGGAGAAGTGGAAAATTCCTAGCATTTGAAATTGCGTCATGTTTATACAAAAGCAACAATCTTGGTTGCGTCAGCTGTGCCACACTGGGGAGAGAAGGAGGGATACCCAGAGGGGTGACAGGTAGGGTCAGAAATATTCTGGCTGTGTGGCAAGTGCATCTAAACAGAAATGATTGTTGACATTGACACGATTACAGAAATTTCATCAAATTAGAGCCTTGCAGATTTGGTTTGTCCCTGAAACTAAGCCTTGTTATGGTCTCTGTCAACGCGTATATTGACGGGGAAATTAGCTCAGATTGAAGACGAAAAATACGTTGAGTCCAAACTTCTTTAGTCGGCAATAAAACAAAATACAATTACTAATAGAAATATGTCGAGCGGAGATTCCAACTCAACATGTACATGTGAAGTCCAGCAAGCAGGCGTATCCTTCTCGCGGCTGTACATACAGGTGCTGTCGGAATACCAGACTAACTAACAGTAAAGATGTAAACATATATATACACTATTGGACAACAGTAGACAGACAAAGAGACAATGGCGTTGCCCTGGACATGGGGCTTATGGTTGGACAGACACGGCCCAGGGGGAAATGGATTAAGGCTATAAATGTCATAATGTGAAATGCTGTGTTAAGACAATGGTACAACTGACCGCTGTTACGCATGGATTACATCATGTTAAATAGTCCAGATTTCCTAAACGATATGTTCTCAATACTGTGCGTTGTCCAGAGTGCTGTTAAGTCACTCTGTGACAGTCTCCATCACTTTTTCAAGATATATATTTTCAAATAAGATAACAATATTAAGCGCTCATTGCTTTTATGGCTGTGGTGATCTGGCCCCAAATCTCCTGAAAGAGTAATAATTCATTGTCGATAAATGAGGACAACAATTGTGACATTTTAGAAAGTGGAATTCGAAAATATTGTTTGAACATTTCATTATGCGTATTATCTACAAAATTAGAACGTGACTGGTCCGTTGATGCTAGGAAATGACAATTCTGTTCAGAACATGAGTTCCTATGACGAGATTGTGAAAGGGCAATTATCACTTATAATTATTCCAGTTTGCCTCACTGCTTAACTCACGGAATCCTGAGACTTTATATAACAACTTGCTGTAAATAACAATGCTCCTGTTCGTCGCTGGTGTGATCACCATGGTGTGTCTCCCCCTGTCCGTTCTCGGCGGTTCCGATGATAGACATGCTCTTATATACAGAGTGGAAATCTTCCTTCCCCACAAAGAGGGAAGGGACGAGACTGCGGACATACAGCAGATTAAGGAGACGGTGAAACATCTAAATGACATTGATGTTCTCTTTTCATTTAAGGTCTGTACAATTGTGTTACTAACAAGACATGTACACATTCGTTAAAAATGCATAGCACATCATCGATCACCTAGTTCTCATAATTATGTATCCCTTATATAACTAGAAATACCAAGGACAGCATATCTACATCTCTGTTAGGAGATCTGCAAACTGACACTCAACATTCAGTGGTTTGGATAGGACGAATAATTAAAACGTTGTATAATTTGAATCGAAGATGAAAAGAAACCCTGTTAACGGATGGGTCCACGGCACTAATTATTAAATCATGAAGATATAATTCACTTGATCATTCAGGATGTGAATAGCCATACATATTGCATACACATATGTCTATATGAAATAATGAAACGTTACTTAGATAAAGTCGCACAAAACGTGAATTCCATGACATATGTTTGTAATTTCTGGATAAAAAAATAGGTCATTGAAAATATGTATCCCTTATATAACTAGAAATACCAAGGACAGCACCATCTATATCTACATCTCTGGAGATCTGCAAACCGACACTCAAAATTAAGTGGTTTTGATGGGACGATTAATCAAAGGGTTGTATAGTTTGAACAATAGCAGTATGGTCTGAAAAAAGGTCGCATGTATTACTTGGAACGTCTGTTTTCCATATTTTGTCCGCCAAGGGTTTTACATATGGATAATGGTACTGTCTTTACATCAAAAGAGTTCAGTATGTTTACTTCCAATTGGGGAAATAGATGTAGTTATACTCCAGTTGCTAGACCACAAGCTAATCCAGTCGAAAGAGCTCACAGAACATTAAAAACTTCGTTAGTGAAAACAGCAGAGTGTGAGAAAACATGGGACAGAGTTTTGCCAGAAATTGTATTAGCACATAATTCGTTGTTAAATCGCACCACTGGTTTTGCTCCGTATTTTGTTATGTTTGGTCGTAACAGTTTGATTCACCAGTTAGTGTCAGACGATTTTTCTGCTGTGGGGGAGGATATGGATGGCTGTGTAGAGTTATGGGATAAGTGTGTCGAATCTCATGAATCAGCTAAATTACATCGTCAAGAACAGACATCTGAAAGAGTTTCACGGATGTTTAATGTTGGTGATCGTGTTGCTGTGAAAATATTAGGAGGACATAAGTTTAAGAAACAGCATTTCATGTCTGGATTTGTGATATCCAAGTGTTATGGTGAGTTCCTGCAAGTCAAGTCATCAGATCGTTCATCGAGAGAAACAGTCGTCGTAAGTGTTGATCAAGTCGTGCCAGACCTTTCTTGAGGGGAGGGATGTGAGGTTGTTCCCGGTACTGGAAGCTTCGCTCGAACGCAACGGTCCCTAACAGTAGTGTGTGGCTGCACGTGGAATTATAGACTATGACGCGTGATCCGATTTCGATTGTAACCAGTCTCGTTATTGTCCTTGTCAAGTAAACGTCTTGTGTTCGTACCGCTGTGTTGTATGTTATGTGGGCCCAAAGACCTTACAATGGTATCCGGTCATATGCTGATAGAGATGCAAATATCAAAGGTCAAGTTGGGACTACTTTCAGTGTTTATAAACAAACATGGCATCGCTCTTGTCATTCGAGTCAGAATTAACCATCGGGAATATGGATAAACTACAGAGATAATTGCTATAATCATCAAAAGAACAGTCTAATATACTTAAAATCAGTGTCAAGCTGTGACGTAGCTAAGGCATTTCATAAGTTTTGGCAACTTTGGAGATATAAATTGCGAAACAATTTTGTGAGTGCACTAGGCCTAGCCAAGCGGGATCAGTAGCCATATCTGTGCCTGCAGACCTCTGCGACTTGAAACTTTTTCCACAAATTAAAATAGTTGGATTTGGCCGAAATATGTTTGAATTGTTACCTTGTTTCGCTTTGTCGCTGTGTGTACATCTGATTGCACTTTTTAACGTTATTACAGGACAGGCCGAATGTAAACAGCGTCTGAACGTGGCCGTGACGTCTTATAGACTAGGGTTAGAGTAGCTTCCCTTTGACAAAGGGCAGTTACTCTAGCGGACAGACCGATGGATTGCCACGAAAGGCAATTGAAAACAATTGTTGTTTTGCGTATATGTTGCTTCGCCACTGTATCAGAAACAGATTTCAGTTGGAACTATATTGGCTACTGTCACTGTCCGACTGACACATTACTTACCCTGTGACGTAAAAAATATTAATGCGCGCAATCCAGGAAAACTCGCAATGTTTAGGTATTGTTTGTGAGAGAGGGAAAGCGATATATATATACGCCACATAGGAGACCAGTATGTTTGTTAATAGTTTGTGGATTCTCAAAACTCAAAGGATTTGCTTTATCTGTTGAAATCTCATAAAAGAACGAAGGACACCACTTATGTCAAACATTTGATCTTGCCAAACACTATCCCTCACAACACACATAAGGAAAAACTGTATTCCTTATTCCTTGGGACATTTGTCACTGAACGTTACACCATTCAAGGTCTCATCACAAGCCTAAAACAGTTGTATGATATACACCAGTAAGACATCCAAAATTGAAGTCATCAGTCACGCAAAAATAATGTCTGAATCAATTCCCTATTTTGACTACGATATGTTCCCCTCTTTTTCAGGTAAACAATGACTTTGCCTTTTAGGAAATATTTATTATGATATATAGAGGTTAACACGCGAGTGTGTTTGTGGATGGTAAATATCCTGTGTTACGAATAAACATTATGTTTAGCCAGCCTTGGCGAGCTACATACATAGTGTATATTCCTAATACAATATATTTACCATCCCCAAACACATAAGCATGATAACCTCTTTATCATATAATGTCATTCTTTAATTCTGTGCTCGAAAATAGCTCTCCATCTCTCACAAACATTACCTAAACATTGCAATTTCTGGAATGTGCGCATTAATTAATATTACGTCAAAGGGTAAGTGATGTGTCAGTCGGACAGTGACAGTAGCCAATAGGGTTCCAACAGAAACTTGTTTCTTATACAGTGGCGTAACTACATATATGCAAAACAACAATTGCCTACACAAATTGTTTTACTTGCCTTTCGCGGCAATCCGTCGGTCTGTCCGATAGAGTACCTGCCCGTTATCAAAGGGAAGCTACTCTAACCCTAGTCAACGAAACGTCACGGCCACAGTCAGACGTTGTTGACAGTCGGCCTGTCCTGTCATAACGTTACGAAGTGCAGTCAGATGTACACACAGCAAGAAAACGAAACAAGGTAACAATTCGAACATATTTCGGCCAAATCCAACTGTTTTAATTTGTGAATGGACCAAGTCGCAGAAGTCTACAAGCACAGATACGAAAAGTGATTCCGCTTGTTTCGCAATTTATGTCTCGAAAGTTGCCAAAACTTGTGAAAAGCTACGTCACAGTTTGACACTGGTTTTCAGTATATTAGACTATTCTTTTCATAGTGATAGCAATTATCCCAATAGTTTCTCCAGATTCACAATGGTTAATTCTGACTCGATCGCCGAATGACAAGGGCTACGCCATGATTGTTTATAAACAGTGAACGTAGTCCCTACTTGACCTGTGATATTTCCATCTCTATCAGCATATGACCCCAACGGATATCGTTTTTATCCGTTGGCTTGATCCTGCCGAGAAACTCACCCATTAAACGATAAAAACATATACCCCTACTGTGGTGGTTAGTATGCTTGGAAATTTGGGTACGAATTATGAACAAATGACGTATATTTTAGTTATTTAATATGTTTTTATTTGCTTCTTTCAAAAAGGCTGAGGGATGCTACTGGTCATCCTCTCATGTTGTCCTTTTATTTGGCAAACTGCTGAAAATATGATTTGTACAGGTTTCCATAAACTACCTAACTTACATGTTATATGTTTTCGGGTATTGAAATAACCAGTCATACTGCATGTGACTGAAAATTCAGTTAGACGTTCAGAGGAAGATAAATTGTTTGCATGTCAGTGGAACATATAATTTATCCATACAGGACTTAATGCAAAGACATTCTTCGGACTTAATGCAAAGAAATTCGTCTTCAAAATATATTTGTATTGCATGCGTTTAAGTTCTTGGCGTTGAGAAAGCATGCCGTTGGCCTCAACTGACAGGCTTTCTGTCAAGCCAGGGATTTGAGTTCTGCATCACATCCCCTTACCACTGCAGTGACTTCGCCAAGGTGTTTTTCCTTGGTCTCAACCTGCCCAACGACATGTGGGCATCATCGTTCGGGAATGATGACCTAATCATGGACAAGGAGATATTCCCTGTGAAAGGTAAATACTGCATTCCAGACGAAGCGCCAGAGGTTTATCCAGCTCAATAGAGTATCACCTTGAGGTTATCCGCATGGTGTCAGTGTTGCTGAAAATAGTGTAATCGGAGAATCAAGGATATATAACAACATGGTCATGAACAAATGCCTCTTTAAGGGCGATCCTAATATTTGGTTGGTTGGTTGGTTTGTTGTTTAACGCCGCAATCAGCAATATCCCAGCTATATGACGGCGGTCTGTAAAATAATCTAGTCTGGACCAGACAATCCAGTGATTGACATCATGAGCATCGATCCACGCAACTGGGATCGATAACATGTATCAACCAAGTCAGCGAGCCTGACCACCCGATCCCGTTAGTCGCCTTCTACGGCAAGTATGGGTTGCTGAAGACCTATTTTACACCGGAATCTTCACGGGTCCGATCTTAATAACAAATTATACACTGAAGTGCATGATCTTGAATATGAAGGACCGAATTCGAAGAGATATTAAATATTCAGATTTATATGATTGATAAGTCCTGCAGTGATAATTAACAGTTTACTGACCGATATATTAATGAATGTACATACCAAAAGGACTTACTACGTATTCTGTGTCAATCTCGTTGTTTGTCACAGAGGTTAAAAGTACTACAAAGTAGTTATAGTCCGAATGGTGACAGATGTGAAGCAATCTATTGTAAATTTAAATAATCTTAAGCGAAAGTCGGATACCAGTGGTGAATACGCAAGGTACAAAAAGTAGAACAAATATGTCCCAACCTATTACTATGTATATCGAACAAAACATGAAACTTCATGCCTTCTAAAATGTAGTGATGCATCCATGAATGTTGGATGCAAGGGAAGCTGATACTGGTTACATAATTGGACCACAAAACTATCAATACAAATACTAAGTGAAACAAAACTATCACATGATGGTGTGAAGAAATAAAATCGGCATTGGCCAAATTTGGTTGTGGCTATTGTGATTTTCAGTTGCATCAAGTGCTATTAAATGAAACCAAACGAATATATTGACACATTTTTCTTACAAGAGGATTTTCTAACGTAGATGAAAATATCCTGAATCGTCATTACTGCTGAAGTGCTGCTGTGTTCCCCACACGGGGTGGTGGGATGTCCTAGTGCATAAGACCAGGTTTTGATTCCCCACATGGATACAATGTGGGAAGCCCATTTTCCAGTGTCGGCCGTCGTGATATTGCTGGAATATAAGCTAAAAGTGGCATAAAACCGTCCTCACTCACTTAAAAATTGTCACCACACCTTATTAAATCTTACAAAATTTCTTCTGAATGCAGAGTCCATTCTGAGATTCTTACAACATCATAAGCTTGTGTTCATGAATCCCAATTAAATAATGATAAGAAATCCAAGAAAACTTTCAATCAATAAACTAACGAACTATTCCTATAGTCTTTAACCAATCATGAATTACCTCATCAACCATCATGTCCATTCCAGACTTGTCAACGCTTGAGTACATAGACAAGCTGAAGTGGATATTCGAGGAAGATTTAGCCATTATCAAAAATGGTCAGCCAACTGTATGTTTCAAAACTCTCGCAGAGTATCCGGTTGAGGTAATTATAAGAATCTTCATCACAGATTTCTTTGTTTTAGTGTCTTACTTTCTCTCTTGTAGCCTTCAATAATCTGCAAATGTGACATATGAATAGATAATTAAAGTTGACTCATTTATTATTCTGTTGCATTAATTATTTATTTATTAGAATAACTACCACGAGCATGCATCTTCACTATCTCAGAACTCAATACTTTAACATCTGTATTGTCTTTTCATGTTATGGGATTTTAGTATTTTTTAAAAAGATAATGTGACAGTGGCGTGCATTGTAGAACGTGATATGTTGTGTCACAGCAGGGTAAGGCAGTTACATAGAACGTAATCGATAGAAATGGGACGAATCACTGTGACGTCATGCTTATTCTGGTTTGGCAAAGGACTACAGGTTGTTTTAACAACAATATATGTATTGATGTTTATCGCTGTAAACAAAATGTTCATTGTTTATTACAAATGATCATTTTTTAAATCATTTCAGCTAGTGTTCTTCGGCCAAGCTAGCCAAAGTAAGACGGAAGCAATTGAAGACGTGTTGCATGAGCCTAATACCTTGTACAATGAAGTCACGCGCCTTGAAAACCTTGATTATTACACAGGAGTGTGCCAAGGAGACTAAACTGATGTCAAACTGTATAACTGAATAGATATTTTAAACAATATTTAGAACACAGAAATCCTGATGAAGATGCGCAACAAGCGCATTGTAATTTACTGAATAAATTTAGTCATCTCATCTGTCAGGTCATTCAAATAACAAATAGTTAGTTTGAGTTCGTTTCCGTGTGAGCTGGAGCACATGGTGATGACACATAGTCGTTAATATGTGTATATTCCGAACATAGCGAGCCGTCTCACGTTGATAAGTCCTATATTGCACAGTTTAAAAGGAGGGATTACTTGAATGTATAACATTCGGTTGTAGGCCAATCATGTACTATTGATGTCTTCTGACCACCACAAAATGCAGCGTCTGAATTTTTTAGTTGCAGCATTACTGCTAACATGTATATCACGGGGATCTGTCCCTTGCACCTGGCAAACCACAACAGGCAGCCAACCACATGAATGACTTGACCGCGACGCAGCAGGTGGGGAAATCAGCAAGTGTCATTACCAGATAAGATCGACATCGTATCCTATTCGTGTTGCCAAATAGCAGTCATGTAGCTGTAACATGACTGAGTGTGGCGTGAAACAACAAACATCTTGTCGCTGTATGACTGAGACATTTAATAATGTTGCATTCACTCACTGATAACAGTACCCTTGACTTATTTTCACCAACATCTGTACCCGCATACTAAAGGTATATATTGTCGGAATCGTACAATCGACTCTTATCGCTTTTATTGTCATACCTGTGTTCGAAATACCTGCCTGCCTGCTCGACCGTCCGAGACGGGTTGATTTCAACTCGGGCTGCCAGATTTTCAAATCCCCCTGCCCGACGGTCGGGTTATATTTCATATGTGAAAATATTCTAAATATTTCCCGATGATAAGCATTAATTCACATGTAAAGATGAATGATAAAATGTAACCAAAAAGAAACCCCGTTAGCTTATCCTGAGAAACATATGATTTATAGTGGGCAGGCAGGTTTTGGTCAGGGCTGGCAAGTATTTCAGCTAGCCAGTCCTGTGGTCTGGCTGAAATTTTTGGGAGTTTCATACCCTGGTCATACTTATCCGTAAAGGATCATAATCTTGTTGAATTATAACTTATCAGCACTGGCTTGGATAATGCGACTGATCAAAACCTCGATCTTTGACCAAGTCAAGACATTATTTATTTTATACGAACACGGTTTTATCAGGGGAAAAAGTAAATGGGTTCTGTTACAAATATTCATGGTGATTGTGTTAACCTTGGAGTATATTCTTTAAACCTCGCCTAAAAGTGATCGTGGCTGTAATGAATAAATAAATATACTCACGACTGCCCACTTTAATATTGGACACGCTGAATGGCATTATGCTGAATATCGCAATTCGCGTGGATGGCTGACCATATTTACCAAATTACTAATCTTGGTGGGTTTTTTTTGCTTAACGCCGCACTCAGCAATGCTCCAGCAATATGACGGCGATCTGTAAAAAATCGAGCCTGGACCAGACAATCCTGTGATTGATATCATGAGCATCGTTCGAAACAATAAGGACAAGAGTAGTCGCCTTTTACAACACGTATACGTTGCTGAAGACCCGGATCTTCACGGGTCCTAATCTTTGTAATGTAAGAGCAATATCCGTAAATGAAAACACGAAAGGTAAATATGGTTGTCCACAGTCGTGAACGTCTTCTCTTCAGAAACCAATGAAGCTGAAACTGCACGTACTTTTTCCCACCAATGATTACATCCAAATCCCATTGTCTGTAATCCGAGTTTCGATATCACCACCAAAAAATGACAATATCGCAGCCATTTTTGTTCAAAGTGTAATGACAGACTGCGTTGATGCATGTGTAGTCAGTAGTAGGGCTCAACAGACATTCCGTTCTTTTTCTTGCAATATACTTTTACTTTTGCACTTTGACCATGCTCCTAATTCTATTAAGATGCACACCTGGCTCTGTACACGTCTTCGCCTCTGAAATTGCCAGTCGGAGCTAAACTTTGGCGTTTGTGTTTCTCGTTCAGATGACATCATATGTTGTTACAGTGTTAGTTTTGAGTCCTCGGTGTTTGGGCAAAAACTATTAAACAACTGCCTATCCAGGTGAGCTACAATGCATGTAAGAGGCGACTAACGGGATCGGGTGTCATCGTATCCCAATTTCCTAGATCGATGCTCATGATGTCTATCACTGGATTGTCTGGTCCAGACTCGATTTATTTTCTTGGACAGGTTTTACCTTTCTCGGGAAATATCGCTCTGTCCATCAAGGTCATAATTCCCGAAAGATGATGCCCACATATCCTCGGTCATGTTGACACCGAGCTCCTGGGCGAAATCACTGACGTGAAAGAGGGATATGACGCGGAACTCATATCCCTTGCTTGATAGAAAGCCTGTCAGCTGAGGCCAACTGCATGCTTTTTGAGCAATTGCTTTTATTACTTTAGTGACACTTGTACATTTTCCATTTTGATTGAATATATCTTTCCAGACCAAATTGTCCGTTAGTTGTCCTTGCAATTTAAGGGTATATTATTAGTTATGGTGTCTTTAGTTGCCGTATACGATGTCACATTAGGTTAGCAGAAAAATATAGAGCGAGGCGTCAGTGGAGCCCAATATTTTACTGCTAACCTAATATGACACCATTACGAATTTCTTATTTACACTATTTGTTATCTTTGTCGCACATGTCATGTCAAAACTTAAAACACAAAACTTAACACTCACAACCTGAGACGTTAAGGGTCAAACGGAGACTACTCTTCAAACCTCAGAGGCCAGACCTTGTTGATAATTTTAACTTTATATAATCTTATTAGTGTCACGAACGTGATCCCAAAAACATGAACGTCCTTGCACATCGAAATTGATGATATTAAAACACAAAACAGTGTCGAATAACGAATGAGCTAATATGGGAAGGATGACACACAAAGAGTCACATCCCCGAATCTGACCACCTGATTTTTCTATTGGACACAAAATGAATATGTTTTTCATCAAACTAGACAATTTACACCTTCTTAAATATGAGGGTCAATGTCTTGATGAAAATAAGTCAAGGGTAATGTCTATATTCATGATTTTGTAAAACATGGCTTAATCATTGTCAGTTTCTGATGAGTGATCAGTACAAAATCGCAATTTGCTATGCCGTGTTGCGGCCCTTTGGCAGGACAGAAAGCTTTGATTGGTGCTTCGAATCCCGGTTTGCCCCGATTATGTTTCTAGGTTTTTCAGCACAATACGTGTGCGTCTGAACGTCTGTAACATGCATCACTTCGGGATTTCCTACTGGACTCATGTTAAAAGCGGCGTTGAACCCAAATCGCTCATCATATGAACGGTGATATATTATCTAAAATTAAATCCATCAACGAGTGGTTGACTATCAGTGTGTGAGGTGAGGTGAAATTGGGTTTAACATCACGTCCAAGATTATTGCACTTATATAGCGATGTGCATGCACGTGTGTGCGTGGCTGCTTGAACTGGGCCGGACTGCTGCTGATTTATAGTGCTAGCTCACTGAGATACCATGCCGCAGTTTAACATGAATACCCCATTCAGACACAGTATACTGACTCCGAGCCGACCAGTCCTTGTTTTTGCCCCTTAATGCCGAGCGCCAGACAGGGTAACAACAAGTACCACCTTTTAACGTCTTTTGGACGCGGCCGGGGATCGAAACCCCCGGACCTTGCCCTCTCCGGGCGGATGCTCTACCACTAGACCACGAAGGCGGTCTATCAGTGAGTGAATGCAAAATTATTAAATGTATAAGTCATACAGCGTCAAGATGTTTGTTGTTTGTTGTTTCACGCCACACTCGGTAATGTTGCAGCTACATGACTGCTATTTTGCAACAGGAATAGGATACGAACGTGTGGATCTTATCCGGTAATGACACTTGATGATTTACCCTCCTGCTGCGTCACTGTCAAGTAGTTCATGTGGTTGGCTGCCTGTTGTTGTTTGCCAGGTGCAAGGAACATATTCTCGTGATATACAAACCCTGTATTTCGTGGTGGTCAGAAGACATCAAAAGTACATGTAGTGATTGGCCTACAATCGAATGTTACACATTCAAGTAATCCCTCATGTGAAATTTTAACACAGATGACATGAATATTTTTATTCAGTAAAATACAATGCGTTTGCTGCTCATCTTCATCGTACGCATGTGTTCTACATACTGTTTAAAATATCTGTTCAGTTATACAGTTTGACATCAGTTTAGTCTCCTTGGCACACTCCTGTGTAATAATCAAGGTTTTCAAGGCGCGTGATTTCATTGTGAAAGGTATTAGGCCCATGCAACACGTCTTCAATTGCTTCAATCTTTCTTTGGCTCACCGGGGCGAAGTACACCAGCTGAAATGATTTGAAATATGATCATTACTTATAAACAATCAACTTTTTTTTTTACTGTTATAAACATCAATTCATACTAGTATATTGTTGTGGAGAAAACCTATAGTCCTTTGCCATACGAGAATAAGCATGACGTCACAGTGATTCGTCCCATTTCTATCGATTACGTTCTATGTAACTGCCTTGCCCTGCTGTGACACAACATATCACGTTCTACAATGCACGCCACTGTCACTTTATCTGTTTAAAATATACTAAAATCCCATAACATGAAAAGACAATACAGTTGTTAAAGTATTGACAGTGTGCATGGTACTTATTCTAATAAGTAAATACTTTAGACAACAGAATAACAAATGCGTCAACATTAATTATCCATTGATATGTCACATTTACATATTTTGGGATGATACAAATTCTGTAGAGAGAAAGTAAGACACTAAAACAAAGACAGTTGTAACGAAGAATCTTATAATTACCTCAACCGGAAACTCTGCGAGAGTTTTGAAACATACCGCTGGCTGACCGTTTTTAATAATGGCTAACTCTTCCTCGAATGTCCACTTCAGCTTTTCATTGTACTCAAGTGTTGACAAGTCTGGAATGGACATGATGGTTGATGAGGTAATTCATAATTGGTTAAAGACTATAGAAATAGTTCGTTCGTTTATTGATTGACAT